CTCATGTGAGTTCTTCGGCACCTTCTCCAGCTGGTCAAAGTTGTCCAGGTAGATGCGATGAAGCACAGACGATGCTGAAAATGGCCTGTCCTTACGAACTTCCTGCTCCGGCCGAAGCCCTTCATCTGTCCTGGTGGAGGCCATCCTCACGATGTTCCTGTGCACATGTTGCGCTAGGCTGACCGAGTTCTTGAAGCCCATAGGCAATACCTGCGATGCTATGTAGTACGGACCATCATCACCAGGCCACATGTCCCGAGGGAGTGGCTTGTTGAACGCCAGGAAGGGGTGCCACTCTTGAGGCACCTTGAATATATAGAAAAAACAGCGCACATCTTCAGAGGACACCACCAAATCTTCCGTAGGCATAAGTTGCAGCGGTCCCATCGTTGCCCAACTCGGTAGGGTGGCGACATCCCCCTCCAATCCTCTGCAGACGTTATTGCATGGTCGAAGGTCCATGATCAGCCTGTGAACCGGTAGTCCGTCAACAATTTCGTCTTTCTTGACTCCAAACAGGCCGTTCAGGAGTGGCTGCCCCTGTACATGGTAGACCTGACTCTTTGGGAGGATAGTGCATACCACATTCCTGGTCAGCCCTTCACAAACTTCTCGCCAATGATCATCATGAACAAGGACCCGTGGCCCCTTCATGGCCTGTTGCATCTCCCCGGGAAGGAGATATTCAGAGAAGTTTTCCACGTAGTGCTTGCACCCCAATTCACAAACATCGGCTAAGGCTACTGAAGCTATCTCAGCTGGCATTGCCGGTGCCAGGTTGGCCCACGTCGTAGACTGAGCACAGAGTACTTCATCTCCACAGTAATCAATGGTCTTCAAATGAAAAAACTCCTGCCACGAGATCTGCTCCAGTCGTTCTGGCCATTCAGATGCCACTTGAGCCTCCCTAGCTAAGTGCCTAACAGCCTCAACCTGAAGAGAAGTAGGGTGGAAGTCATTCTCAGCGGGCACTCCATAAAACAAGTTCAGCGCCAAGCACATTCCTCTTACCATCCCAACAATGCCCAGGTCAACACCCATGATGTCCCTCAAGTGCAACATGTTGGTGGGCAATGGAAAAACATCACCCTTGGGCTGGGTCTTGCATTGCTTGTCCAAACCTACCTTCGGACCAAGAAGAACCAACTCGTGCACCAACCAAGGGACGACCTGGATCAAGCTATCCCCGGCCACCGGCGGCCGCATGCAAACTTTTTCCGCGGACGAGGTCATCAACGAGGTCTCATCCACGATCAGGCGTGACGGAACGGCCGGACTACCCAGCCAGACGCCTTGCTGTCGCTCCACTCCTGCTTCGTCGACATGACGGCATGGGTTCAGAGCTGCTGGAAAACCGTTGCCCTCTGCTTCAAACGGGGCATCATAGTCTGAGGGCGGACACCCTCCTGTACCAAGCCATGGCAAGACCTCCTCCCTCACTTCTTCTGCTCTCCTTTGTCCTTGCTCGGGCGCTTGCCCTTTCCTTTCCCTTCTTTTCCTTTTCCTTCGCTGCCATAGTCTCGCCACTGCCAACTGTCCGACTTGCTTTTGCCCTCGGATGCTTCGTTGCGAGTTCTTTGTTCCTCCTTTTGTTCTCTGATTGCCTCTTTTGTTTCCCCTCTTGAGGAGATGAGGGGTCATTCTGGTGGTAATACCTCGAGCCGCTGCGCGATTTGCCACGCCGATCCCTGCAAGACCATCTCGACCGACTTCAACCTCTGGACCAAGGCGTCGACACATTCGGCCATCCGACCTTGTAAGGCTAGGTCTATGGCCCAGCAAAGGGTCAGTCCTTCTCGACCTGGCCCGGCCAGCGATTGCCTGTAGTACTGACATGCCAGAGGTTGTATTGCCGCCTGATCTTGCTGCCATATCCCACCGGTTGCCGTGAGCAAGCTGCTCTGCATTTCCCGCATTGCTTGAGCCGCTAGGACGCCCGGCGCCCTTCGGGAGAGTCGACGAACCTTTTGCTGATCCTCGAAGACCTCCACGGAATCCGAAGTGCTGCTTTCTTCGCTCCCCGAACTCCCCGATGAATAGGAGTCCTTCTTCTTCTTTTTGATCTTCTTCTGGGCCTTGATGGCGAACCGGCGACGGTAGCGAGGATCTGGGTCTAACCCTGTCCCTCCAAAGACCTCCTTCAGTTCTTTTCGAGCTCCTCCTTTCAGATCGACCCTCTCTCGGCCTTTCTCGGGACTTTCGTCTCGAGCTTCGCTCCTCTTCCTCTTCTTCTTTTTCTTCTCTGCCTTCTCCCCTGGCACGGACTTCTTTGCACCACTTCCTTTGCTCTCGTCCTCGCCTCTCTCCCCGACTAGGAGTGGCTCCGCTCGTAGAACTTCTGGCCCGGGGACCTCCTCGATCAAGTTGACCATCCATGGATCGTCCTCGCCAGCCCTCTTTTGGATCAACGTCGCATGGACCAGATCCTCTGCCTCGAGCCTCTCTGGGCACCTGTCTCCACAGAGGTGAAGCCTGAGTTTCTGCCCCTTGTGGCCTGTAGCCCACTTCAGCAGCGACTCCTCGCTCGTGCCCTGCACCTTGATCTCCAACTCCACATCTTTGGGCGTCCTGATGTAGAGGTTGTCCACCAAGCCTGCCACCATGCACCTGGCCCCCCCAATAGATGCCTTCGACGCACACTGGCAGGCCTCGGCGAAAAACTTCCAACGGGACCTCCTCGCATCTCACTCTCTCTCCTCCTTCAAAACTTGCTCCTAGTCTTGCTCCTGTGGTAGCAAGGCGCAAAACCTCACCGTCCACTTCAGCACCAGCTTCTGGGCGTCCAGCCTCTCTTGCCGCTGGCCTTCTCCTCACACCTCCTCCCCGAATAGGAGGCGGCCTCACTCCTCTCACTGCCGGTCGATGCCTGGGTGGCATCCCCTCACTCTAAACCTCACTGCTCGTCTTCCTGGGCGCGATAGTAATGTCGCTCCCGCTTTTTTGCACCTTTGTTCTCACCGTACCACCTGGGGTGTAGTTTCCAAGCCGGTACTCTTCCGTCCCACTTCTTGACAGCCGGGCGGATGATAGGTGGAGTCTTCTTAGGAGGCTGATGTCTCCCCGGAGGTGATCGTGAGGGCGTCTTCGGTGGCCTCACTGACGGTCTAGCTCTTGGCACCGTTCGCTCAACCTCAACTGGCCTTGATGACCTCGAATTCTCCTCTCGCTTCTCTCTCGAATTCCTTCTTCTCCTGCCTTGACCTTGATCGAGTCTTGCTTTTCCTCTTCCTTTCTCTTTTGCTGCGACTCCTCGTTCTGCTTCTCCTCCTTGACCTTCTCCTAGGCTCCTCTTTGACCTGCTTTGATGAACTCGAGTGTCGACCCTCTGCGGTCTCCTCTTGCCCACTCACCTCCCCGACAGGAGATGCCTTTGAAGCCTCCTCCTCACGCTTGGCGGAGATCCACGACTTGTCCGGCTTACTCTCCTCCTCAACCTTCTCGGTGGCTTCACTCCCCCTCTCAGGAGTGCCAGAGGATGCCAAGCTCTTGGCTTTCGAGATTGCGGTGCTCTCGACGGCCTCCCTTTTTCGCTGAGCTTCGTGAAACTTGTCCGACTCCTCCTGGATGACACTTGTCCACACCCGAAGTGAATTCACTGCCCAGCCTCTCAACGGGACGGGGATGTCGTCGAGCACCAGCCAAAAGCAATTCCTGCTCCTGCAGAATGTGCACAGATCTTCCTCCCCGGATGTCAGGAGGCCACAGGCCGTGCACCGCATCCGCTGTGAGCCAAACTCTGTGGATAAAACGAGATCGAACCCGGTCGTCTTAAATTCCGGGGGCGTAACATCATATCCATATCAAACCGGTCAAATAGAATGCAACAGGTTCAGGCGGTTTTGAAGGGACAAAGATCCAAGTCGCTTTGCGCGTCTTTCCAAGCAAAGATTCAGAAGCTTGACAGCCTCCGCTCAACCGAACAAAATGATGGTTAGACTCCTTTCTTGGCATGATTCCTCCTGTGCACAGGCAGCCCCTGTCAAACCATCTTGCTTGGCTTGCCAACAAAAGCGCCTTGGTCACACACCCGTCAAAGGAATTATGTAAGAACTGCATGCAAGGAAAGCACAAGTTGGCTATGTAAATACACATGCGCCTGCATGCTTAGTAAGATGGAGGCCATCGCTATTGGGGTGGAGGCCTTTGCTCTTAGGAGCAATTAGGAGCAAGACAACTTCGGTCCGGTTTTCAGATCACCCAAGGCACCGCAGAGTTGCTTTGACGTCTGCATGAATGGCAACAAACTCCTCAAGCAAGGGCAAGGATTTCCCTCCGGGCTAGAATAACCGTGGACGTAGAGGAAAATGGACTTCCAAGGGGCCATTGTCCACTGTCATAACTATTCCACGGAGTGTAAAAATTGTCTTTAACAAGCGAACCATTGTCGATGTTGACACCATCCTTTACATCCCTCCTTCAGCTGCATCTCATTTGAAGGCATTTCAGCCACCAACTGCGCCGTGGCGGAGAGCTCATCCTGAGTTCGTTCTCTCCCAAAAGCTCTCAGAAGCCAAACCAAAACATGCTCAGGCTCCTCCGAAGGCAAGTACTGCGGAAAATGCTCTCTGACTAGTGGGTCATTTGCCAGCATCAGCCTGCAAAGAAAAGCAATCCGATTTGAGCATGTGCACCTTTATTCTTATTCAACGCACACTTCAACAGTGGAAAAGGGTGTCTAGCCCTGCTTTCCGCTCTAGGATGGTTGCACTGCAGGAGTGTGGACCCTGGAACGTGACACGCCCCTTTTTGGCCTTCACGATCCTTTATGTGCCCACGGCTGCAAATCGTAAGCGCAAGTTCTGCCCAACAGGATGAACCTGAGCCTTACCTTTTGGACATTTGACCACATGTGATTCACATACTTGACATCTGTGTTGGCCGAAGCCACTTTAAAGTATTAAACGTTAGATGTCACAAGCATTGGATAATGCAAATATTGTAGATATTGAAGGCCAAATGCCTGTTCCATGGGTTCCATGCTTTTGTACATAATTCCCTGAAAACGCCACGCCGAAATATCTGCGGCAGTCCGTGCTTTCACATGCCAAGACCGAGAGTACACTGTATAGATTGCAGTGCATGCGTCCAAAAGGGTTTGTCCGTCTCCTAAACATGTTCACCAGCTTGCAGATCAAAACCGGTGTTCTTGGGATGGAACGGTCATAGAACCTCCTTCTGAGTCGAGCATCCGGTACTTCTATATAATCTGACAAGGCACCGAAACATGAACAGCATCCGGCTTTTTGATACTGCTTGCGTATGGTGAAACTGTCGCAAACGTCGGCACGGCACAGCTGCGAGGCACAAGCCTTGGGCAAGAATTCAATCTGCTCTTCGTACTAAAGATGTATCTTTCTTTCCTGGCTTTGTACATTTCTTTCAGGTGTCTTCCTTTCTTTATGCATTTTCAAGTTGATTATATAAGGGTCAACATCGTCAAAAGGTTGCATCCGCTCTGCGGCATCCTGCCTCGAGCAGCTTGGTCATCATTGTCCTTCATAGAAGTTGGCCCTGGTCATACTTCTAATTGTAGTAAATTGCGACCCGACTGAGTGATGAGCCAGTTGGGGCTCGCAAGAATTTCAGAATTGCTTGCAAATAATGTTGAACAGCTTTTTAGACAGGTGTGAAGAGGGACAAGGAAAGCATGAGGTTCGGAGCCTGCCTGTCCAGCAAATCATCGGCGGCAGCCGTATGCGGAATTCAGTAATCAAGAATCATGGCTCTGAAGTGCCACGGTTGCATATTTTTTCCTGTTGCATCTCTAGTCAGGAAGCACCAAATTAATCTACTATTATAAATAACCTTTGGGGTCTTTCAGCGATGTGAACAAGAATGTCCGCTCTGCATGGTTGCTGGGCCTGCACATTGCCGAATTGCCTCAGGAAACAAGAGACGCAACAGGGCGGGGCTTTGCCAATGGAGTCTTAGTAGCTTCTTGCTAGTGGTAGTAATGGTCTCCAACCTAGTAGCGATGGCCTCCACCGTGGGCCTCCACTCTAGTAGCGATGGCCTCCAACCTAGTAGCTGCCAGCTACCATCAGCATGAGTCTCTGCCAGCATCAACCGTGCAACCAAAGGATTTGAACCCCCCAAACCGACCAATAAAGCTTTGGTCCTGGCCTCCCATGTTTTGGGCAGATCACAACATGCTTGGTAGAGGCTGACCTGGACGATGAAATTGTCACGTTTTTGGTCCTCCTGACTCCTGACCCTCCGATCTGGCACGAGCTTCTAAGTGGACCTACCAGTTCATCCTTCTCTCAAGACGGTAGGATGCATGTTGTTACACTTGTTCACTTTGCAGTTGCATGACATTTGCATGTATTTGCGCACGCTATGGTAGCGCATGCAAAGCTAACTGTGCAGAACAATTTGGACACAAGTACAGTGAGCACGGCTTACTGGCTTACTGTAGCTTGCCACTTAAGTGTGCATGGGCCAATTCCAAAACACCAGGCAATTAGGCGCACTTGGTTTTCGTGAACCTGACATAGTTTCTTCATCCAACTTGCCAATTTTCTTAGTCCGCCTGGTCCTCTTGTCCAAATCCCGGCAAAACTCATGATGTAAAAAGTTGCAGTCCTTTTATCCGATGAATCATGAACCTTTCATGAACTTCATCCCGTGTCCAAGGCTGATTGCGCCTGATTGCTGTTCAAGTGTCCACCTGCGTGACATCTGTGGCAGTCGAACCTGGGCAGTCTGACTTCGAGAAATACATGGCTGTAGAGTTCGAGGCCTCTTGTTTGGGGCCCAGCAGCCATTCAGCGAGCCCATTCACATTCAAAAGGGGCTTTGACTCGCCACACATGGAGATGAGACGCTGCTCGATGAGACTTGGCTTTTCCGCTTCTTTCGCTTCTTCTTGCCGGACTGGCACAAAGTCTGCCGAATGATACAAATTTAAAGAGAAAAGCGCCTGACCATGCGGATTGTCCAAATCTCTGGACCCTTGTGAACTTGTCATGTGCCCCCTTCTCTCTGTGGGAATGCTTTACAGGCACCTGATGCCAAAAGGATCCAAAAGCCGTAGTTGCAACAAAACATCTGGTTGGAGGCAATTGAAGTCCATGGCTATTAGGTTGGAGGCCATTCCTTCTGGGTTGGAGGCAATTTTGGAGGCCATTCCTATTAGGTTGGAGCCATTGCGATGGCTCTTAGATGCTCTGACTGAGCAATTGGAGATTCGCCTCTCGAAGTCTGCTGCGTTTATTTGGCACCGGTCACCCAACTGCCTTCTCTTTGCTCAAGGTCCTTTTCACGGTCCGAGTCTCACTCTTCCTCAACTTGGGGTTGCTTCCAGATGCTTTTGTGCTTATGCTTCTCTTCTTCTTGCTGTCCTTTTTCACCTGTGGCGGAAAGTAAACAGGAGCCAGCATGACTGTTGCACACTTTCACGTTTGAGTTAACCACGATGCATATTATTTATTATGCTGCATGCGCCCGTATACTCCCTTGATATCACTTGCTCCTGACCCATGGCATGGCATAAACGGAGCGTGTCTGCAAAGAAAATGATACTCGCGCCCATGAGCAGCCAAATGCCCCGTGTAACGCTGTTTTCTGCGAATCTGTCAACCATCGAGCAGGCTCTTTGTACAACTTGCGTGACGGTAGGAATTTCAAAAGGACAAAGTGTGAATTATATAGTCAGCCCGATTCAGCTTTATCTTGCTCCAACCGTCTCGCTCCAGCTCACAAATTCGCGTCAAGAGCACATAACCGTTGGGAAGGTGTTGTGTCTGCGACCGCCGATTGTTACACATTGCAACCCCTCTGATCGTTCAGGAGCGGTTGTGATTTCGGCGTCTGCCTGAGGCGTTCTGATGTCCAGGCTGACCAGGCACTTCAGGGACGGTGTGTTGCATTCCATATGTAAAACTTAATGACATATCTAAAACCACCTGGGGTCACCACATCCTCAGATTCCACCATACTCGAGCAGCACGCAATGCAAACGACGCAATCTGCCAAGGCCAGGCTATGAGCCTTATGCATGTCAGGGTCTCAGGGCAACATACAGTATAAAGCCCATAATGTACGCGAGAAGCTGGGATCCAAACAGTGTTTGGAGTATCGGTGCGGCCAAAATTAAGAACGCCGCCTCAACTGATGCGCAGTACGTCTTCAAACAGTATTGAACAGTATGCTGCATGCTTGTGTCCATCTAGGGTGCTGGCGATCGGTAGCAGCATAGAGGCCCAAATGCAGACTGCACACCTTGGTTTCAGTATGTTTCAGTGGCACACTGTGTGGCATAGCTAGTCATATACACCAGTCTGCTTACAGTATGTAAATCCATGTTTCTACAGTGTATGTTTCTACTGGCATACACTGTATCACTCTGCCACGTGAGCTATGCTGGAAATTGCAATTTGCAAGGCTTCGTCTAAGAAGTTGGCGCCAAAGGCCCCAAATTCATCCAAGCAATTTCCTTTTCCAGCAAGTGCCTCGCGATGTCAGATTATGCAGCGGCGACTCTACAACCACCAAGCTGGAAATCTTCCTGGCCTTCGAACTTCGGGACTGATGCCGAACACATCAAGAAAGTTCAAATTCAGCAGGTAGCTGCCCAACAAGTACCGTGCTGGCCACCGAAGGTGCCATCTTTTACTTGCAAATGGCTTTCCGGCACTGACTAGAGCAAGCGTCTGAATTATGATAAGAAGCAATCCAAGGAAGCGAACAAAGAGCTGATGAACAGGGCCCACAAGACTATCGCCTTCAATGGCAGCTTGTGCTATGCGTGCACGTTCAGATACCATGCAAGCCGCAATGAATATGAGAGCACCCTCTGGAGCCTTTATCTTGTGGATCAGCTCTGCGCACGCAGTGCCAAAGTGTGAAAAACCCACGTACAGGAGACAGCACAGCGCTACCTGGCACCCCAAAACTTTCAAAAGTGCAGCAGAAAGATTTTAAAAAAGGAAAGTGCAATGTATGTATGTATGTATGTAACTATGTATGTGCCAATTCACTCCTGCATGGTTCTATGTCATCTTACCACCACAACACATAGCTGAACATGCAACAAGCACTATATAACTGACTTGGCCTTGGGTGTCATCAAGCAAGATTGGCATTCTGGCCACCTCTCGGTCGGCAAGAAGTACTCTCCGCCAGCAGCGTAAAAGTCGAGGAAGCAAGATGGAACCAACAAGAAAATGCACAGCAAAGGCATCAGCTGCAGGATTGGTCCTGATGCACACAACCAAGCTGAAGTTGCGCATTTTGCCCACTGCCCTCTAAACTCTAAATTGCACGAACCGAGCGAGAGAAAGAGAGAGATGATGCTCGAAGCGGGACATGAACAAATCAAACACCCGCACCACCTGCTCCACAATGAAGACCTCCAACTACAACCATTTTGCCAATGAGCAATGCAAGCAGGAACCATCTTTGCACGGTCTCAGCATGGAAAACAATATCATTCCAGGGCGGCCCAAGGCAATGCGAAGCAATCATCGGAAAACAACCTGCCAGGCAGTGAATGCATTTACACCCAAACAACAATGACAACAAGCCCCTGCTTCTCTGCTTTGACAATCGCTACTGACACTGACCAGCATGAGTCTTAGAAGCGTCCCGACTGTTTCAATACATGACGCTTGGGTACCTACTAACGGTGTTGGTGCTCGCAAAACATGCGTCCATATTGCCAGATCTCTCAATGAAGGACGTTCGACTGTGGTTGCATCATCACATGATTTAACTTTTACTAGTGACTACTCCCTGCAGCCTGTGTAGAAGTAGAGCACAAAAATAGCTGCATCGCGGCCTGTAAATCTCTCATTGTTAGGCGACATCAACGCTGTGGTGAAAGCAAAAATGCCATAAGCCCAATCCTGTGTGGCGAGGCGGTATGTGTACAAAAGCCACGAGCTAACCTGCAACTTTGCCATTGGCACGGCGTTGCTTTGCGATCCTGAAAAATGGTAAGTCCGTGGCTCAATAAGGACACACCAAAACCAGTGAAATAGAACCACGTTCGTCATTGCTAGTACTGAAAGGTTATCGCAAAGTCGCTGCATTCTTGCCTGCCGTGAGCTGAGCAAACGCTCGAAACCCAAAGAATCCAAAAATCGCAGAAGGTCATTCGAGAAGCACTCGGTTTTCTCATCCCCCAAAGCTAAGTCTTCTTCGAGCTGTGCTTCAGCTTGAGCACGGGATTGTAGTCCCAATGTCATGTCCCGAAGGGCACTTCGGTTGATCTTGTCATTTTCAAGGCGTGGCAAGCACTTTAAGTGGATGAAATGCACCGGAATCATATAGGCTGGAAGAGTCTTTGACAAGGATTGCCGCAGGTTGTCTTGGGCCCCTGTCACGAATGCCACCTCTGCTGCGGCGAAGCTGAGAGGTGCAAACGCAAGAATGGAAGGGCATTACCGTTTCATACCCACCAAAATCATCCAAATTCCAAGTCCCTCAGAAAATGCAAGTTGTTACACAGGTGCCAAGTCCGATCCCGGGAACTAAGGTTTGTGAGTCCTGAAGCGCTTGCACCACAGCCGCCCCCTCGCACATGGTCGATAGTGAAGATTCAATTTCTGCCAATTCTATCCGCACACCATGAAGCTTCACCTGCCAAGGTATTTCTCCAAATTCACTTCACACCAACATGATCCAACATGCACGTTTCTTCACAAGCTACTTGGCTGCAGGTTTCTTGGACTGGCATCGTCATTTATCGTGTCTTCTCGCCTGGGCATCCTTCCGTCCGCAGATTTCCAATTCGCCGTCTCTCCACATGCCAAAGTCACCAGTCTGAAAACAAATTTCACTGTTCACCTACACAGGGCACGATAACAGTTGGATTCGATTCCCGACTCAATCTACAACCCTAGATGCATCACGCGTGGTCAAAGAGGGCTATTTGCGTGCAAACTTAACGCTTGGTTCTTCAGCTGGACCTTATGGTACCGTTCTCTTGTAAGCTCCGGCTGGTTCAAATAACCTTGAGACAGTATGCCACTGAAGTAGACCTCTCCCTCTGGGACAGGCTTACCTCCTGGCTCCAGTAGCAACGAAACCTGCACTTCTGGCTGCGCTTGCCCCACAGGTGCAACTGACCGGTGTGGGATGTGGCTGCAAAGCCAGGAAGTCATAGCAGTTTCAGTCAGGCCGTAGTAGTTCCGCAACTGAGGACCTTTCTCCAAAAACAGTTTACAGACTTCAGCGGGCAAAGCCTCACCGACGGCTGCCATATGCTTGAGGGCAGGGCAGTTCCCCAAGTGGCGCATAAGAGAAGGCAAAACTGATGGTACTGCTGTCAAAGCACTGATGCTGTATGTCTCAGTAAGCTGTGCCAGAAGCGGTAAATTTCTCTGGGAACCTTCAGGGGCAATATACAACACGCCACCAAAACAAAGAGCTGCGAAAGCTTCATATTCTGCAGTTCGCCACTGGTAAGGTGTCTTCCAAAGCAAACGAGTTGTGCACGTCGCTCCTATGTCTTTGGCAAAGCAGCAGGCTGAGTGCCAAAGGCACTTGTGATTGCACAGGACTCCTTTCGGTTGACCAGTAGAGCCTGATGTGTATATTACCATGCACATCTGGTCAGCAGAGGGGACCTGCCTTTGCTGACGTGGTACTTTTTGGCAGGTCGGTCTCCAACTGTTTGAGAGGAATAGGGTGCAAGCATGAACACGACATTCGTTCGAAGAACCGTCATCCTCCATTAGCACCATGTCTGCCTGGGAGCACAGAAACTTCTGCCTTGCAAATGGAGCATCTTTGGGCACGGGTACATATGCCCCACCAGCCTTCCAACTCCCGAGAATCGCAGCAAGACAAAGTGCTGAGCGGTCCAGCAGAAGCGCAACAAGCAGAAAACCCTGTCTTAGTCTGCTTAAATCGGAGGCCTCTATTTGTTTGGCAATGTCTTCAGCCCAGGAGAGGAGCTGCGCATAGCTAAGCAGCAAGGCCTTTCAGTCAGGGACAGCATCGTACAAACCCCAAAAATGTGGTTGACACGCCTCATCATCAGCCACCAGTTGCACGACTGCTAGTTCTGAAGGCAGCTGCCGCTCGATTTCACAAAGTACAGAACCTCAATACGAGTCTGCAAGAATTAAAACAAACACTCACACAAGCTCTATATCGGTCAAGTCGCTATTGAATTGGCTGGACGAGTTCTCACTCACAACCATGCGGATGCGAGACAAAAGCCAGCCAAGTTGAAATTAATGATCACCAGCCTTTTGTGCCAGCAGGTGGAAAATCTGGCCGCTCGTCCTCCTCCTCTTCCCCTTGAGGCTGAAACCCATAGAACTACCATTTCGATGCTTAAGATCGAGTGCCCCTGACAAAAGTCTTGCTGCACCGCACGAGGATGAGCAAATTGATGTGTGCTCTTCTTCTTTGCCTTGGAAGGCCTAATCTTGAAACATTTGACTTCAAGGACCCTCAAGCAGCAGAAATCATTATGCTCGTAACATCGTCTTGCATGTTCACTTGCCCATGCAACATGAAAGGTATCCTGGAAATGCAGGTACAACAGTCCAACTGTGCGCATGTGGCCCTGCCAGAAATATTCAGGTTCATGCTGGCGACAACATGGTCGAAGCATGTTGCCGCTACGGGTTCCATCGGAGATGCCTGGTTGTTGGGAAACGCGGTTGCAAAAATTCCTGCGAGCACACCTCCATCCAATGGTTGCTGGACCCTGAGGCATGCCTTGGCCATGGCCTCCTTCTTCTTCTTCTTCTTCGCCTTCCTGAGTGCTCACTCGACAGTTGTGAAATTATATATTTCCCCTTTAATCTGCTCATCAAGGCACTGGATTGAGCTGGAGTTGGAACTGGCACCACATGTCGCGCGACTGAAGTCTATATAACATGTCAACATGTTCAATTGACGTGTGGTCAACCAAAATCAAAGCCTGGAACTGGACGTCGTTGGGTTCAGTCGTTTTTTGGCCTCCGCTTAATTAGAGTGGTAAGACATCAAACAAACGCAAAATCAAAGGTCTCCTTCAATTGCTTCATCTTCCTGGCTTTCTCCTTCAGGAAAGGATAGGAAAGGCATTGCCAATTCTTCCAGGAACAACAATAGCCGATAGCCGATAGACAACAAGCCCGATGCCTCATTACAGGCAGAGCCACCTCAATCTGCTTGGCAAGCAACAGAGTTGCTAGCGCCCCTCTAAAAAATAGACTAGCTGCCCACAAAATGCATCTGGTATTTACAGTGTTTTGAAGTTTCTCGACCTTGCTCCTAGTAGTAAGGCCAGGAGCCCCTAGTAGCGATGTCCTTTGCTCCTAGTAGCTTCTTGTTCCTAATGCATAATTACACTTGTCAATGATGTGATGTTTCCTACTTGCTTTGTTGCATACTCAGGCAAACTTTTCGCTCAGGCCCTCATGGGAGATGGTGCAGTGCTTTACCTCTAGACATCTCTAGACTCTAGACAGCAAACACTAATTCAAGCCTCACGTTTAGAACCAGGCGCAACATAAAGACCTGCGCATCACGATATTAGTCAGTTTATTAACCCCACCACCACTTCCACCCGGTCATGTGCCCACACTCCTCCATGTTCAAGGGCGTCAGGAGTGTCGCCCCAACAACAAACCAGAAAGTCCACCCATCTTGGAAACCCAGGCGTGGCCGCACCCACCCACCCACCCTGCAGATGGAAGCATTAATCTTTCAAAGACACAAAATATTAAGTTCAGGGTTATCTCAAACCACAATGGGTTGTTGAACTCTTCGACTGCCACCACATTGTGCGCCACAAATTATAGATGTATATAGGTTCACCTAGAAGCAACAGAAAACCTCATTTTTGCCAGTCGTCCCGCTCACGGGCCATTTACGTATATAACCATGTGCCCCATTCCCGACTGGCACAAAACCACGCACACACAGACTCCACAAATGCCTCAACAAACTGCATGGCACGGTGACATCATGAAACCCTTCTGTCGCTACTGTTTGGGGTTTTGGCAAACATGTGGTGTGTGCCAGGCGAGGTGCAAAGCGAGATGCTGCAAGGTACCGGGCGAGATTGGGAAAATTCCCCAGCCAGGCCAGGCCCAGTTACAGTAACATATTTGGGCAAGATCAAACTTCAGGGAGCAGCAGCAGTAGCAGCAAAGCAAGGTGAACGCCACTTGAAGACCAAGGATCAGTGATTTGCACGTCGACGGGCTTGGAACCACAAACAACAATCAAAAGACCAATTCAGATAGGACAAGTTAACTTAGCTGGAAAAAGTCTATGTAAGCAAGGGAGAGGCCAAGCAGCAAACTGATCAAAGGGGAGCAATTCACGATTTCCAAACATAACAAACAATGGTTAAGGATGTTGTCAGACTTTGTCCAATGATTGCACTTTTCTTCATTGGGTCTGCCTTTGCTCAAGGGGCTTTCTTGCTTGTAGCTCGGTCTAATCAAACACTACGACACTACTGAGAATCAAAAAAGCACACATTATTCATTGTTGGCCTCTGGGAACCATATCAATGCCTTACATAACTAGCTCTTACTCTTTGCACCAAAATTAACCACTATGACCATGACCAGGTCGGCATGCTTTTGGAAGCAGAACGTATGTGTATAATTCTAGCGATCTTTATATAATTTGATTTCTCAGCAACTGGAGCTCTGAGTCGACAACTGCTGTGAGAACTCCGGGGTCTCTCACTTCCTTTGCGGTCCTGCAAGGCAAAGCTGTCTGAGCCTTGGTTCATCCTTCCATTCAGATCAAGTACCTGACTAAGCCGAGGCCTAGGCTCACATCATGTCTACAGCACCCTGCAGCGGTGCACTCCTTGGATTGGAGGGCCGCCTCCCGCGCCGCGGCATATGCCTGAATTAATCTTTTCTCACGTGAGAACATCAAATATTAATATATTCATGCTGGTACAACAATCTGCGTGGCACCTTTGCTTCTGCTTGTGCACGCGCTAGCTCCGCTGCCTTCTGCGCTTCCACCTAGTAGCACGAGGCTGGGTCTATTGGCTCAAAATGGAAGTGAGGAAGGAGAAGAAACAGGTTCTTTGGGCCATGAGCGCGTTGAGGGAGCGAGCGCAAGGCAAAATAGTTCTTGATCGTTTGCTGCAAAGTCTGAGTGCGCAAATGGCCGCAATCCGCAATAGTGTTTTCGTTGCTTGTGGTTTGCTAGCGTTCGCAAAACTTGACACGACTTTTACCTGTCCTTGTGTTACCCGCATAGGCACAAACTCCTTCTCTCCCTTTCTCTCCCTTTCTCTCTCTCTCTCTCACCCTCTCTTTCTCTCAGCAGGTATGGAATGGAAGCCCACAGGCCGCTTGGTATTGGTAGTGATGGGGTGGTGGGGTGACGTTTACATCTTTGGGCCAATGTGGAATTCAATTGGTTGCCAGCTCAACGCATCTTTGTCCAGGGATTTTCATGCCCATGCTTGTTCTTCATGCTGCACTTGCTTCAACAGATTCAGCGAGAGGCATAGGTGTGTCCCACAAGGGGGGTACTAGTAATATTGGATTTAGATGTACATCGTGTTTTTCTTTTCTGGTGAGCAGCGTTATGTGAACCTAGGAGTGCACTTTGCGAAACACGGAGGGGGGCTGATCTTAACATCTCGGTCTTGTGTCAGGTGGCAAACGCCTGGTAGCCCGTAGCATCCAACCTCGGGTGGCTCACAGAAAATGTACTATGTTGCTATGGTCCCTTTCATTCTTTTCAAAGACACCTTAGCAACGCTCTGTAAACCTCACTGATCCAAGCATTCAAGTCTTTTGTGAAATGGCCAAAGCCTGGTGGCCCTTAGCTTCCGCCGTTATGGAGTTGCGGTGAAAAAAGGTATCTACGTGAAGTTGTTGTTGTTGTTCAGATTTCCTGGTGAGCAGCGTTATGTGAACCTAGTGCACTTTGGGAAGCACGGAGCGCCGATCTTAGCATCTACATCTCATGTCAGATGGCAAAAGCCTGAGGTGGTCAGTCCAACATCTAAGTCATGTCAAGAGTCAAAAGAAAAAAACAGCCTGCCCGGTCTCGCATTCACATAGCATTCTGATCTATTAAACTGTCTCCGTTTCGCCTGCGCCAGCTGCATTGCAGCAGCTTGCTTCAAGGCAGCCATTTGCGCCTAGTATCGGTCAATGTGTTCCTAGTAATTAGCTTCTTGCTCCTGGTAGAAAGACTAGGAGCCCCTAGTAGCGTCCTTGCTCCTATATAGTAGCGATGCCCTTTGCTCCTAGTAGCGTCCTAGTAGCTCGGCACTGGCAGCAGCTGGCAGCTTGCACCACACTGCAATTCTTGAGATAGTCCTGTCCAACCGTCCAACCTGTCAGTCGCCTCTGCTGCAGACTGTTTCACCTCCTCCTCTTCACGAATCTTAGATGAAGTGGCTGATGTTAAGCAATGTCTCGGAAAAAATTGAAAAGATTTCTACTGAGCTTGGTTGATTTTGTAAGCTGAGCGCTCGGCCACCCATTTCCAACCACTTCCCTCATGGTTGATTGGAGCGGTCTTTCCACCCTCGACCAGGTGGCCACCGCTCCAGTTCTCAGTTCGACACGGACACGTCTGGCGCCTCGAATTGCAGCAGGGACTGCGTCTCCCCAATGACCCGGATCCTCTGACCTGCACGAAGTCTGCACGACGTCTGCACAACGTTAGACTAGGTGGTAGAGATGGAGTTTCATAAGCAGTGACACTGCTGCAGTGGGCTTTATAGTTGTGTTTGCCTCCGGAACACTTCCCACACCACTCACTCTCAAAAGCCAAGGGCCCATTGACCCATTGAAGTCACAGCTGCACAAACTACGACAAACTTAGTTTGCCACCCTTAGAACACCCGTACTTTGCTTTGAGGATCTCGACCACGCCTTCGCCGAGACATGATTCGGAAAGGGCTAGACAACCGTTGCGCAAAGAATTGTGTGGCTGTGCAAATCTGCGTTTCGGGCAGAAATCACCGGCACGCTGTTTGTTCATCGGCAGCGAGAATCCGCAAGGCTTAGATCTTCGCATGGTGAAACAGGTGCATTTTGTGCAATTCCAGTTGCGTATGCCCCTTACTTCTATTAAGAAGCGGAAGCGCAGAGGCTGTCGGTGCTTGTGGTATTCACTCTTGGCTACTCTGAAGTGAAAAACAGTACAATTGGAGAGTATCAGATGTGAACCAGGAATGCAGTCAGGATAGAATGTCTATGTACACCTGTGCGTCTGTGTGCGTGTGCCTACTTTAGCAATGCTATGCGTATGGGGGCGACACTTTCATACACTTTCTACCTCACAAATGCTGCCAAAGTTTAGCCTTGGACCTCACTAACACGGCCCAAGCCTTTGGAGCAGAATGCCAAAGCAGAATGTGAATGCCAAAGCGTGATGAATCTGGTTCTGCTCTGCTAGGTGCATAGCGAACCTTCAATAAAGGTTTCAACTGGAAAGCAGGTGCAAGCTACTCAGAAAGTGGTCGGCAGGTGCCAGGTAGGCTGCTGAGGCTGCAGAGGCTCTTGCGTCTGCACTAAGGCCATGATTGTTCTCATGCAAAGGGCGGTTCACGATCGCATCTAGTCGTCAATAGTTCTCAAAGCTGCAGGCTGCAATTCTTCAATGAGCACGCAAGACACAATGAAGATGACGTACAGCACTGCCATGCAAGCACCCAGAAACTTGCTCAGCTTCCACTTGCTTATCATGATACTCACCACGGTCCCAAAGACCATTCCCAACAGCAAGCAAGTGTAGAACATTAAGTACGGAGACCTCAGTGGAAGCACCATCCTCGCCAGAAGATGCCAGAAGAATCTAGCTTATGAACGAGCTGCACAGCTACGTGATGCGTCTGAGCTGCCGGATGGAAACACCATGCCATTCCTCGTTACTCGACTCGATGGCATTCTTCAGCAACCATGGAATCGGTAAGCCAACCTCAGCAAAAAAGGCCGGATCACATGGCAACCTGAACTTGGCATAACTCTCCGTCAGTCCCATATTGCCCCTCGTTGGCTCCTGAACTTAACACAAAAACAGGCTCTGATTCAAAAAGGACAAACCAGCATGCAATTCACTCATCTGCATTCCAGGGCACAAGAATATCAAAAATATTGGAACCCACCGATGAGCTGACTGCCATATCAGCTTGGCCTAGAAAGGTCGGCAGGTGACAATAACGAGTGATGACAAGACAGATGCTAATTTCAGACCAAATGATCCATAGGTTTATGTACTGTGTATATGATATAACTGTATAACTGTATATCCATGTACTTCACTGCGGAATGCAGAATGCGGCGAGCAGCCTTTGCGCGCCACAGCCATTGAGCTCACCGCATCCGGGATGGATGTCGCGGCCGCAAGGAACGTCAACCCAGAGATAATCGTTGGAATCTCAGATCAAAAGCCATACAGTGGGCGACTCCAGGTTCCATCGAGTGGGCGACTCGACGGAATTGGTCTCTATTTTGGGAGTCATTAGCATTTCCGAGATTCTGGTGATATTGAATACAATCATGTGCCAACGGATGTCCAATCGTTCAAGGTCCACCTTAATCTAAGGGCCGTACTCCAATGACAGAAGCCACCTCAGCAGTGGAAAACGCGGAGAGACTGAAAAACAAAGTCAACAATTGTGCGAAAACCTGCCTCCTAGGACTGCTTGCAGCTTCCTCTAGCTATGCAGCTGAAGTGCAATCTCTGTCCACCAAACAAGCAGGAATGCAAAGCCTCCGATCCAAAGCAAGGAGAAACCAAACGAGACCATGTAGAGTTTGGATCCCTTCGACGGCCATGGCCTCAGCTGACACATCTTCTTATATAAGGCTTGGGTTTCTCAAGACCGCATGACGTGTGACACCTTATAAAATGATATCACCTTGCATCAAGGGGAGGAGACTTGCAAGGAATTCGGCACAAAACCTTATTAAAAATATTGCACATGTCAAAGCCTTGATGGTTTCAATTAAAGGCCCTCAGGCTCGAGCAGTGTATAGTAGAGTGGGATATACACAGGGAGGCAAAGAAGCCAAATGATCAAGCTCACCTTTCCCTCTGGGATTTCCATGAAGTCATCCGGCTCGTCATCATCCTGGAGCCCATGGCAAGCATGGGCTAACTGCAAATGTCCGAGCCAACGATTGCATCCATTTTGTGTCCTGAGTCTTACTTCAACATGAATCAATGCCTCAAACAATGGACATCTTCTCCTCGTCATCATCGTCATCTGCCTCCATCTCTGAGGCCCCTTTGCTGCCCTTGCTATCTTCCTACAGATAACGGTTCACTCAGGATGCTGTGCTATCATGTTCTCAAAGCATGCAATCCAATATCACCGGCAGTAACCCAGAACCAGGAAGCTGTCCTTCCCTGGGATCTTGTCTGCCAACTTTCCATCTTGTACCAAATCTTCAGGTTCGTGGCCATCATCTTCATCCTCCTCTTCCGGAGTGCCCTTCACAACAACTTTGTCTGGTTCCATGAAGTTGTCCTGCTGAACAAGGCCGCAACTCTGCACATGCTGTGTGGCTCTAGCTAGCACAGTACGCCACAAGCAATACTGTAAAAAATGTGTGTCTTTTCATGAAGCTACCTCATATCAATTAGTCATCACATTGCTTGCCTGCCAATGAAACAAGTCTGTGCCGAAAGCTGCAAAACCTTGCACGCGTGTGAGCATATCAGTGTATCAATACAGGGAGGCTCATGTAAATGGTATGCCCCCCGTGTCTTTGATCATCGCTGTGTTTTCGTGGTTTGGTCCTTGGCAGGTCTTGGTGGCTCATCTGGTTTCTTCATCGCGCCATCTTCCTGCACGGTTTCAGTTTCAGCTGGATTCTCGGGCTCAACCTTGCCACTTGCAGCGCGCTTCTCCTGAAGCAGTGTGAGCTTAAGAATGCAGCACTCACAACCACATGTCAAGGTGCACCCAACCTGGACGTACTCCCTCAGCTCTTTGTTCAAGGGAGTGCCTGTAAATTCGTACCTGAGTTGTTGGAGCCACTGAAGTCAATTGTTTTCAGGCATGCAACTGCAGTACTGCTTGGATGGTCGGCAAATGTAGCAGCTACTCATCGCAGAATCTGCTGCCAAGCGACGCCCACACATTGAGTGGCCGGTTCACGAGCATGAATAGAACGTAGCAGATGTACATTGTAAAAAGCACGCCAGCCTTGTGCAGAGTGCACAGAAGTCTGAACACTCTCGTTAAAAATCATAGGTCTCGACATTCAAACCTCACCGTGTTTGCCCTGTTTTCTTGGCATGCAAGCATCTGCCTCCCAAGCTTGCACAAGCTGGTCCGAGACAAAAGCGGCCAAAACTGCCAATGACGTGATGTAGTATGAGCAGTCCTTAGCACTGGAGGCAAGCAAATTTATATACTTTGAATACACCAGGAGGCGCTTCCCACAACTCCCCGCATCCATTCCAAATCGCTGTCTGAGTGTCTCTGAAGAGAGGCCACCAAGTAAGATCGATATTGCCTTTCGCCACATACCCACACCTCATTAGGAACGGCAAGAATGAAAGCCGAACAGGGCTAGGCTCTGATGCGAAACGCAGAAGGCCTTGCTCAGCTCCAAAATGGCTCTAAGGTTTCCACAGTCCAATGACAAAAAGTACATTGAAGACAGCCGAGCCCACAATGGTGCCAAAGCCAATGTCATTCTGCGCCTCACCCACTGTTCACTTCGCTGCAACAAGCACACCAGTCTGACGTTTTGATAATGATTGACGCTGATTTGCTTCCATGTCACAATAGTGGCACCAATGATGGATGTGAAGAACTCTGGGGCTGAACCTCCAGCTGCCATCCATGTAGCCTTGGCCCGGGCGAAGGGCTGCAAAATGCTACAAATAATGAAAGATTGCAAGAGTATGGGGGGAAGCAAAATTTGGTGCAAGCAGGTTGCTCCAGCTACATCTGGGGTGAGATCCCAGGCATCACATAGCAGGTCAATGGACCCCGCAAAGTAAACATCACACACAGTGTTCAACCCGAGCACCATGTAGGCCTCAGTATGCACGCGGCACCCAGTGAATCCCCGTGACTCACTCCCTTTCGCACTGCCAATGTAGTCTTCCCACTCAGCCCAGAACCATGCCGATCACGTGGAAAACAGCAAGGAATTTTCGTTCTGCACAGACAGACATGCAGTGCGTTGGCATCACCCACTCACTACTTGCAGCTCCGTCCACAGAAATTGCACAAACTTCGAGCCTGCAGGAACTACGTTGAAGTAGGTTCCATTCGCATAATCCGAAGCGTCTCCTAGAAGCAAGTCTCTTGGGTATAGGCTCCCACCCTTCGCCTTGGCAAACGTGACCCGAAGCAAAGCAAACCGAACTTGCAAAGGACCAAAGAGAGCAGTTGAAGTGTCACAAGTGGGTAGCAGCTTGACCACCACAGAGCCCAACAAGCCAAAAGTTAGAGCTGAGCCAAAGCCAAGGCTAAGGGACTTCCTCTTCCTCTTCCTCATACGTTGAATTCAGTCTCCGCGCCGCAGGCAAACCTGATTAAGTTGCAATTTGCTTGAGTCAAGCCACAAACAACCAAAAGGGGTGGCAGCCTGAACTTCAAGACCAGGCGTTCCAAGTAAAGAATAAAACATGAAGAAATATGAAGAACGTATTTGCTCCAGACATGCCTGCATTGCCAAACTTTCCAGCTCCTTCCTCAACAGTGACTCCAGTCCAAATGTGCATCACTTGTCCCGGTAAATGTTCAAATAGGCTGTTTGGTGCGTTGCCCATCTTGACTTCAAGGGAAACAGTCCTGCATGAGGAACAACAGGCCCATGGCCAGGCCAAGTCCTAGGCTATTATATATGAAGAAAGCCACGCAATGGTAACTAGGGCTTGGAACACATGGCTGACTAAGTGCGGT